GAGCAGCACTCTGTACTGGAGATGCCAGGCTGACCAGGAATCGATCATCAAGTCAGTGATTGATGTGATAAGAAGAGAAGATGAGATCCCACTTCACTCTGGGGTCTTCCTACCGAAAACTCATAACTCCAGCCTAATCATGAGAAACATCAGACAACCTCAAATCAGGGACAGTCTCTAAAATGCCTGACCAGTATTCTCCAGAACTGTCAAGGTCAGGAACAACAAAAAATAAGAGAAACGGTCACAGATCAGACCAAGGAGATGTGGCCACTCAATGTAATAGGGACCAGATGGGACCCTGGATGGGATACTGGGTGGGATCCTGGGTGGGATTCTGGGTGGGACCCTGGGTGGGATTCTGGGTGGGATTCTGGGTGGGACCCTGGGACACACAAAATGGGAAAACTGGAGAAAGCCAAATAAAGTCAAAAGTTTAGTTGAGTCAAGAGCCAACATTAATTTCTTAGTTCGCCAAATGTACCACTGTTTTGTAAGATATTGACATCAGAGGAAACTAAGTCAATGGTATATGGGAACTTTCTATACTGTCTTTGTAACTTTTCTGTAAACTCAAATTACTCCAAAATAAGTTTATTTAAAAAGAAAAGAAGCCTTAGGCTCCTGAGTGGCTCAGTAGGTTAAGCCTCTGCCTTTGGCTCAGGTCATGATCCCAGGGTCCTGGGGTCGAGCCCGGCATCAGGCTCCCTGCTTAGTGGGGGCATCTGCTTCTCCCTCCCCCTCTGTCCCTCCCCCTGCTTGTGCTCTCTCTTGCTCACTCACTCTCTCTCAAACAAATAAATAAAAGCTAAACACACACACACACACACACACACACACACACACAATAAAGAAGGCACCGGTGGGAGTGACCAGAGGCTGACTCCTGTCCTTGCATGAGGGTGTGAACATGTCATCAGGCCGTCTCGTTTGCTTGGGAAGGACAGGTTATGTGAACCGGGCGCGTAAGAGAGGCAGGTTTTCTGTGTTTATCAACCCGGAACAGTCCCTTTGGCAGCTAGCAGGGCAAAAGAGTATTTTTAGACCAGACATTCTGAATCTCAAACGCAGTTGCCATGGCAACGGCGCCCGGCTTCCCCGAACTGTCAGAGCGAATGAACAGACCAGAGCAAGTGGCCCAGATCGGTGGCCTCGAAGCCTGCGGGAGCCCCGGGGGATCGTGGAGCAGCGGTTGCACAACCCGCAGCAGGAAGGAGGGCCGGGGTGGCTTGGGTGGCACCGTGTTCACTTCCAAGCCAGGTTTTCAATTGAGAGGTGATGGCGGGGAGAAGGGTCCAATTGCCTGAGTTGTGTTCAGCCTCACTGGCTAGGAAAGGACGTGGCTCACCTCGCGTATTCTCTCAAAGAGACACATGTTCAGGGAGAACAAGACAAGGAAGCCAACTTGTGCTATCTAAAAAAAACAAAAATGGGGGAGGGCTGCTCTTGGGGGGCAAGGTGGCAACAGCTACCCCAACATTTGCAGCCTCCGTAAATACAAAGCCCCCGTGGGTGCGCCACACGGCCGGTGGCAAGCTCGAAGGGAGCCTGGCGCAGTTTACCTGCGGGGGATGCCGTGATTGAAACGCAGCTCAATGTTGGGGTAGGATGACCGCGAGCTCGGACTGCAAAAGAAATTCTCAAATAATGCAAAGATCACTTTTCCCCAACAACTGAGTTTTCCTTGAAAAAAAAAATTTACTTTTTGTCTTTACAAAAAGACAGAGATAATCCATGTTAACTTAGCACCCCTGATTCCGTGTGTTCAGGCCATGCACGGTGCAGAACGGTCCCGGGGGGGTTCACTGGACCTCACCTAACCTCGTCTGCACAATCCTGACGGGCTCTTCTGTCCTTGGCAAGACAAGGAGAGTGACAGCCATCACTCCTGTGTCTCAGCGAGGGAGAAAGCCAAGTCTTTTCGCTGCAGTGGCCTGAAACATCCAGGGGATTGCTGCACCAGGTATTATGCGGCCACTTACCCAGCCCCCTACCTGACTTGTAATGTGTAAATACTTAAAAAATTCCCAGGGGCTCAGAGGTGTCGGCTACGGCTGTCGGGGGCAAGCTGGCATGTGCATGTGTGGTGCTCGGGACACACCGGGTGTCTCACACCTGCATGTGGAGGTTGAAAGAAATTCTCTTATGATGCTGCCTGCATGATGGGACCTGTCCCTGGTTTACAGTTGGGGACCATCTACAGAGCTCACGTCCGTTTGTCTTTACCAATCCTCCATGGGGTCAAGCACTTCTACTGGAGCGACACTTCGAGCCCAGCCCTGCCAGGTGCTGACCTTGCTCCAACCACTTGCGATCACGGACCTGATCGCACACATGTTTGCACACGCCTCAGAGGTTTATGAGAGCCACCTGCACGACTGAGGCGGTGGGGAGGCTGCAAAGCCCGGACCCCTGGGGTCTGGGTGTGGGTCAGCAGCCAGGCCTCCTGCCCTGATGTTGCCTGCGGGTTGGCCTGGGTTGACCCAGTTTTTAGCCCACATGTGTTTCCCAGAGTGGGGCTGGGTGGCATGTCCCCTGGGGACAAGGCTCTCTTTGGAGCCAAACCCTGGGGCCCCCAGCCCCCCCTCCTGTCCCAGACAGATGGGCCTCTGGGGACTCAGGGTTGTCATTTTCACTCTCCCCTGCCAAATGGAAGCCATCAGTCACCTCTGGTATGCGTGCCACCGACACCCCTGCTTCCTGCCTCTCTTCTACTGGTGCCTCTGACACCCCCCTGCGATGGCTCATCTCACCTCAGAGAGCAGGACCCACAGCAGACACAGGTGCCCCCCCCACACACCCCAGTGGCTTGGCTACTGCTGCCTCCCACAGCAGGCCTCCCTGGGGGCAGCCAAGCTCCTGCTCTGATCCCCACCTAGCCTCTTGGCCTCCCACTGGGCCTCTGCTCCTAGGCTTAGGCCCCTCGTCCCTAACCCAGGCCACCCCTGCTGTTCTGTGCTGCATGGTAACCATGGTGGCCCCTGGCTTAGTGGGACGGTGCTGCTCCGTGGACAGCACCCTACCCTGAACCCTTAGGTGCAGCAGCCCAGCATTGTGTGTGCGTCCCTGCTGTCAGGGCCAGGCCCCCTGACCCCTGTGCTGTCACCTGCCTGCCTCTGCTTCGTCTCTCCCACTGCGTGTCCCTGGAGTGCCTTGCGGCCCGTAGACACCACTCGTGGTTTGACCCCTGGTGGCCTCCGTGTCACGTGGCACCCCGTAAGGCTGGCTGGTGCCCTGTCACAGCCTCCTGTGCTCTGTTTTGTGGGTGGCTGGGTCTCGGGCTCTACACATGCTCATGCACGCTCTGCCCTCCTGGTTTGCCCCAGAGACTGCCTAACCGGCCGCCCGGCTGGCGGGCTCAGTTCGGGAGCACAATCCCCAGGACTCATGGCACCAGGCATGCAGTGACCGCAGTCACGCCGTCTGTCACGTTGTCACTGGCTGGCACTCCGTGGGAACTCTGCTGACTCCTCTCCCCATGGTGACAAGGCCCCCGTGGCTCTTCACCCCCACTCCCCTCTCTTGGTCTGCATATAAAGGGCAGCCTTCCTCTGGCCAATGGGGACCCCTCTGTCATCCTGTCCCCCTCATTCCTTGTCCTCATGTCCTCATTCAGCTCCCTTACCTTCTCCTTCCCTGGCCGCTTGCCATCCTCCCCCATTCTTAGCATGGTCCCTAACTCTGAACCCAAATGCAATCATGGAGAGCAGTGAACCCTACCAACAACCACGCCTCAGCGCTGAGTGTCGTCTCTCTGCCTTTGCTCATCTGCCCTTTGTACTCCCATCCTGGGGACACTGTGCCTGCAGCCACATGTCCCACCTACCCACCGGCCCCTCGGCTTCCTGCTCAGAGCTCTGCCTCCACCTGCATCTCCTCTCCTGCTCTGTGCTGTGGCTGCCTCGATGCAGGTCTGTCTCATCTTCTCTCAGGACATGAGGACGAGGGATGAGGGGGACAGTTAGTGCAGCAGCCCTTTGTCCCCCCATAACCCGGTGGGCTGACCTTGTCACTTCCTGCTTGCACCTTTCTGTTGCTTGCACCGATGTTGAGCAGAGCCAGAGCCTTCCCTGGGCAGCCTGGGCCCCCGTCAGGCCCCCAGTCTCACCACCTCACCCAGCACCTAGCCCAGCCTGTGCCCCCAGCATGTCCAGCTGCTGTGGCCAGATTAGTTATGTCCACCAAATTCATAGGGTGAACCCTAACCCCAAGGTGACGGCGTGAGGCGATGGGGTCTCTGGGGGCAATCTAGTCTTGAGGAAGAGTCCTCCTCAATTGGATTTGTGTCCTTATAAGCTCCATGTCCCTCCTGCCCCAGGAGGAACAGCGAGAAGATAGCTCTGTGAACCAGGGAGTGGACCGCACTGGACACGGACTCTGCACCGTGGGATCAGCCTTGCAGCCTCCCTCCCGGCACCCCAGCCTCCCCTGGGTGCCCCCGCAGCTGCCGGCCTCCTACACAGCAGCCCCGCCCGAGTACAGCCAGCCAGGGTCTGACTCAGGCCTGACCCCAGACGAAGCCCCAACCACCCCCAGCTCAGTTCCCAGGGCACCGCACGCCCCATCCCACTGCCTCCAGTCGGCTGCAGTTACAGGCACCTGCTCGCTTTTCCACGCGGAGGTTCCACACCTCTGTCCCCATCGGGCCGGGGGTGCCTCAAAGGCCTCTCCAGCCCCATGGTTCCAGTGCGCAACACATGGCCACGTCCCTGCTCAGGGATGCTCCGCAAACAGAAAGCCACGAGGGACCTGACATTCTTAGGAAAGGAAGTTGTATCCGCAGGTGATTCCCTCCTTTTGCATCATGGGACTGAAGAAACTCTCAAATCCAAGCTGGCACCTAGAGCCCCATCCCCCTCTTGCCTCCTGCTCTAGTATCACCAGGTGGCACAACACTTCCCCACGTGGCCCCGGGACGGCAGGCCCTCTGCCCACCACGTGTCCCCACGGCTGACCTAGGTAGGGACCCCCAAGAGGGGACTCGGGGACAGGACACTCACCGTTGTTTTGTGTCTGCCAGACGGCATCAGCCACGCCCCAGAGGCCAGAAAACACGAAGAACACGGCCAGCTGGTCGGGGTGAGGTTTCCACAGCAAGAGGGCCACGATGCAAGACAGGTGGGTCACCGCACCTGTGCACACGGGGGGCAGAAACCAGGATATGAGCGCAGCCCCAGGAGGCTGGGACCCCCGATGGTGAAGGAGCCTCTTTGTTTGCTTCAACAGGTAAACAGTGTCTCCTGGAAATACTCCAGCCTGGCAGGGGGTGAGCCTCTGTAGACCCCTGGGCCCCCACCATCCAGGCCAGGCTTGGGGTGATGAACCCTGCTCCCCGCAGGGAGTGTCATGGTGCCTTGGCTGAAGAGACCCCAGAGTAACAGAAGGAGGGGGGTTGCAGCACCCCAGTCTCTCCCTGAGGCTCCCCAGCAGGTGCGGAGGTGCACGGAGGGGCGGGCAGAGGCACCCAGCTCACCCCCCTGATGCTACCCCGGTGGCTCATGAGTTCTGGCCTGATTCCCGTGGACACCGAGGCCTCTATTACTGCAGTGTAGCCCAAGAACAGCTCCGGGTGTTCCAGAAGCTGCTGACAGGGAAGAGGGGAGGTGCCTGCGGCCTTCACTGTGTGCCTCTGGCCTGTCACAACACTCCTCTGTTCCTGGGTTTCCGTATCTGTGAAGCGGGCAGTGGCCACGCCACAGGGCGATTGTAGGGACAAGATGGGAAAACCTTCATGGGTGACACGGCCCCTGGTCAGCTCATCGCTCTCCTTCTCACCGTGTCGTCGCCGCAGACACCTCAGACCCTGACTGGGGGGCCGGGTAACTGTGTTGCCAATGCCCTCGTTTCTCATTATTCACCCTGTCTCTGCTTCTTCCTTCTTCCCAACAGAGACAGATGCGTGTACTTGATGGGATGAGCACTGGGTGTTCTACTATATGTTGGCAAGTTGAATTTAAATAAAAAAATGTAGAAGGCAGGAGGGCGGGTCACCTCCTACAGGAAGCCTCCCCGCGATGCACGGGGGCTCAGCCCCCATGCACTCGCTCCTGAGCAGAGCATGGCCTTCCTCCTGCCCGTTGGTCCCCATTCCCGCCCGAGTCTGGCCACGGGTCGCCTACCCAGCCCATAGAGGGCCTTTCTGCCCGTGTACTGGGACAGCCTCCCGTAGAGCACGGAGCACAGCGAGTTGGTGGCGGAGAAGCAGATCATCACGTAGCCGACGAAATGGATGCCCAGGGCACAGGTGGTGTAGGACTGTGGGAGGAAGCACAGGGGGCGTTACCTGGAGGCTTGGGACCCGGGGGTTGGTCTGGATGGGGGGTTACGGTTGACACTAACACGCGGTCTGCTGTGGGACAGCTGACGTGTTGGACGGGCCCAGACCTTCATGGTGGCCTCACGGCACCTGGCCGAGGAGGAGACGCTCATGCTGGGCAGGAACCCCCAGGGACACCTGCACAGAAGCGTCCCTGCGCATCCTTTGCCTATGTTGCTCTCCTTAGGAATTAGGGGCTAATCTGAGCAATTCCTTGTGGGGCTGGTCATTTCCCGTTCTGCACACCAGACGGTTAGCAGAAGGTGGGAGGGATGAATGGAACAGGTGGAGCACAGAGGATGCTTGGGGCAGCCACTCTGCGTGATCCCACAACAGTGGATGTGTGTCCTGATACTTCTGTCCAAACCCCCAGGGCCGCACAGCACCCATAGTGACCCCTCATAGGGGTGATGATGACATGTCGTGGCAGGTTCACCGGCTGGAACCGACGCCCCCTCTGGGGAGGGACGTTATAATGGGGGAGACTGTGCATGTGTGGGGCTGAGCCATATGGGGCTCCTGACACCTTCTGTCAACCTTGCTGTGAACTGGAAAGAGCTCTACAAATAAAATAAAATCCTAATAGAAAAGAAGCAGATGTGAAGAAAATGAAGGGAATCTCTGCAGAGAGAAGAAGAAAGGAGTTCTCCTGCGTGGGACTGCAGGGTACAGAGGGCACGGACCTCTGCATGGACCCAGTGCCCTCACGCCCACACCGGCCGCTCCCGTCCCCGGGAAGAATCAGGACAGACACACAGATGGGCAGGCTGGACAGGAAGCCCCACTGCTCTGGGACGGCAGGGGCCTCCACTCCACGTGGACGGGATGTGGCCAAATGCGAAAGGGCTGTTTTGTCATTTTTGTCATTGGTCTTTGGAACTCCAAGACCCTCCAGCAAGACTGTCCTGGGAGCAGGGGCTGCCGGAGAGAATCTAGGACCCACGAATCCTGCACGGAGCGTACATGTCCTAAAAGATGTCGGTGGCGACCTGAAATTTGAATTTAACTGGGCATCTTGCTAGTGTGGCACGTCTACCGGGGAGGGAGCTGCAGTAGGCACGGAGTGGGAGACGTTTCCTGGTCAAGGAAAGACAATCCTGGAGGAGTGGACTTGTCCTGGCTCTGTGGCCCCTTGGCTGCCCCAGGTCCTACGTAGCACTTTCTGGAAAGGGGATCTCTGCTCTCTAACAGCCTAGTTTACGGCGTCCCTCCTATGGCACCCTAGGAGGGTCTTCAGGAAAGGACAGCACACGGGCAGGGAGCTGTGGAAACAGAATCTTGGTGAGCACGCCTCGGCGACGAGGGACAGTGGTGAATGGTGGCCCTGTGTTCCTGATGTGCCAGCCCCGGGAGACAGGTGTCCCTCTGCCGGCCTGCCCCCATGAGGCCTTCCCTATGCACGAAGTGGGCAGGCGGGCATCTAGAGAAAGACAGGGCCACAGTGCCCCAGAGCCACATCCATTTCCAGATTGAAATGCACAATTTGAAAACTAGCATGAGAAGGAATCCCAGTGTCACTCGGTGTAACTCATGGGTTTCACGTTTTTCCCTAAAATAAGGGCATAGGGTGAGGTGCAGGCAGGCATAACACAAAGAAGTATTACACATGATGCCGCACAGCTCAGGCCCTTTCCCTAAGGACACATCTCGACCAGGAGGTGGGCCCTCCAGACAAGGCCAGGTTCCAGGGGGTGGAAGTAGCCTGGAAGCTGAGATGCTGAACCATAAACTCTGCTCTCCCACGGCTGGAAAGGGCCTGGCGCGCCCCCAGCAGCCCCCGCGACACGCAAACGCAGGTGTTGGGTGCTCTCGTACGTACCCTGGTGTAGTCGCCAGCGAGGAAGGCTTGCTCAAATCCGCTGTACATCGGCAGCAGCACCAGTAGGCGCAGGCGCTTGTCTCGAAGGAGCTTGAAGGTCGACAGCAGGGTGGACCAGAAAGATGATTTCTTCTCTCCTTCGCTTTTCTGTTGAGCATCTTTGATGGGCTCGAGAAATAAGGCTATGAGCAGGACCGCCAGGACACCGCTCCCTGCAGGGAGGACAGAGGTGGGGTGCTGGGGTGCTCGCAGGAGCCGGGAAGTCCTGGCTATGTGGCACTGATTTACTTCCTTCTCCCCTTTGGGGCATCGATTTCAAATATCCTCGTTTAAGTCATGAAATGAGGCTGCCGAGCCTGACCAGAGCCTCTGGCCTGCAGCACAAACCCTGCGAGACCCTGAGGTCCTCGGCACCCTCAACCGAGGCTGTTCCCTTGTCCTTACCCTCAGGTAACTTCCAGCAACAGCCGGGCTCCCTTCTCAGGATTTCGAGTCCCAAAAGGTTATCCCTTGCTAAGCTTTGTGTTTATTCCAAATGTGTTTCCCCTAACGTCCTGCGGTGGGAACTGGGTGCATGCATTGCGGGGCGTCCAGAACGTGAGGGGATGCTGCACATTCGAAGATGGGAGACGAAGCAGCTCTAAATGCTAAGGGGGACCCATGGGGAGCACCTGGGGAGTTGGGGTGCAGGGCTGTGCTGTTTTCAGGGGGAAGGCGGAGGGGGACGCTGTCACACATGCTGCTCTGTGTCCAGGAACTGCAGGCCACGGGGGGCGACTGGGGGCCCGGGAGGGTGGGGAGGGATGCAGGGGGGGCTTTCCCTTTCACGGTGGGTGTGCTTTGACCCACATGGATGGGCTGACGATGCAAACACATTTTATTCAAGGCAAAGATTCACGTCCCCGTAGAGGGGACCCTGCGCCTTCACAGTCCAGGAGGTGTGACCACACCTCTTTCTGTGCCGTATGCCCCTTTGTTATTTGGATGGAGGGCTAGTGTTTATTCACTCCTTTTCATCTTTACCAAGAAACCATCTCATTCCTTACTGGTCTCGTGATAGCTGCGTATCTGTCCCTGGTTCCTCCTCTCTGGCAACGCGAATGACACCCAGCGCTCCAGGAGCCACAGGTTCATTCAAGAGCCTGATGCTTCTTTCTCTGAAAGGCAGTGGAAACCCTTCAGAATGGCTTTCAGCCACGATGTCTAGTCCGATGGCTCAGACCTGTCAGCCTCTAAAGGTGACTTGAATTATTTTTTCTCTTTGCTTCATCTCACCAGCTCATGTGACACAAGGTCCGTCCTGCTGCAGCGCGTGGTCCGGGCGTCCCCGAGACCGCCAGGTCTACAAAGCAGCTCTCTGCCAGGTGGTGGGCAGAGCTGGTGAAGCCTGACCCCATAGCCCCTCAGCGGTCTCCCCCCACAGATGTGACAGCTGACTTCTCAGCCTTATTGCTGTCCTGCAGCCACTTTCTTCCCGGCTAAACACAATCCTTCTCCCCAGGTCGGTACAACTGCATTTTAACAATGCTCATTAAACACCACGTGGAGGTCTGCTGAGCTCGTGCCAAGGTCACATGTGGTCACTAGCAGTTTTCTCGAGAGCCATAAGTGCCACCAGACCATTAGAGCCGCCCTCATGGGGCCTCAGGCACCTCAATGGTGAAGCAGCTTCCAGAGCAGCCCGTCCATAGGTTGTGCGTAATCACGTGGAGGAGTCGTATCAGCTCCCCAGGGACTCGGGACCACGGCCTCCCACAGTGGGCAGGCACAAGAAGCCCTCAGGACACGCATTATCCCAGGACGAGAGCCACAAGGCAGTTACAAGGGGTGGATCATGGTACAGAAACCACGTTTTTGCTAGGAAAAGTAAAAATGTGTGTGTGTTCAGAGCTGTCCCGTGACCCAGAACCTGCCGAAGGGGCATGAATGTGCTGGTGTCGCTCATCGAATATACTAAAGTGAATGGCTTTGCAAGGAATATCATCCTGAGGACAGAGGAAATCATGGAAAATTACCCTGGGGAGTAGAAGTCTCTTTCCCTGATTCTCCATTCCTTGTATGTGTGTGTCTTTATGGTAGCATGGCCTTGCTTGCAGAAAGAAGACCCATGAAACTCTGCAAGGAAGCCAGGATCTGAATAATAAGAGAGTTTCTCCACGGAACAAAGGCATGGTCCCTGTTTCACATAAATGTCCAGACCACGCTCCCCTAAGCTGCTGGATTGTGTGAACCAGGAGGTGGGTATCATGTGCTCTGGGTCTGGGGTGGCTGCCGGGAACCACAGGGGGGACTGATATTGCTTTCATGAGGGGGGACGGTCAGAGGGCTGCGTGTTGATGAGGGGAATCTCACACAGGAGCTTAGGGTGCAGAAGATGCATTTCTGTGGCCTGAGCTGTGCCTTGAGACCACAGCACAGTCTCAATCCTCACCATTGTGACTTCGGAACAGTATTTTTAATTTAGTTAATAAAAATATAAGCAAGCACATGTAGCTACTGGCCACTGTATTGGGCTTCGCAAAAGAAAAACGATTCTATCATCATAGGCAACCATCAGATAGCCCTGTTCTGCTGTATTGGATTTCGTACGAAAAATACCTAAGTACAACCCAGCTGAACTCATTTTGCAGGAATATTTATACTTTGGGAAGAAACTCTTTTTCAACACAGGAAGGAGTTAGGTTTGCTTTCCTGGGGACCATACCCTCTGTGAGCACATACCCGTGTAGATGCCCAGCAGGGTGTAGATCAGAGTCTGCGAGGGACGCTGGGTGCTATTGGTGGGCACTGTGGCCATCAGGCAGTCGCTGGCCCCACAGGACAGAAGCTGCTCCTCTGGGATGGCCTCTGTGCAGTTGGAAGCAAAAAGATGATGTGAGAATGTAGGAAACTGACAGGATGAGGGGCGGGAGGAATGAAATATGTAGCTAACAAGAGCCTGGACACCCTCAAGGCAAGGGTGACCATAGGTCAAGAGCATGGGACATGGGTTTGTTTGACCAGCTACCTCAAATCACCCTTCCTCTTTTTTTTTTTTTTTTTTTTTTTTTTTATAAATTAATTTTTATTGGTGTTCAATTTACCAACATACAGAATAACACCCAGTGCTCATCCCGTCAAGTGTACCCCCCAGTGCCCGTCACCCATTCACCCCCACCCCCCACCCTCCTCCCCCTCCACCACCCCTAGTTCATTTCCCAGAGTTAGAAGTCTTTATGTTCTGTCTCCCTTTCTGATATTTCTCACACATTTCTTCTCCCTTCCCTTATATTCCCTTTCGCTATTATTCATATTCCCCAAATGAATGAGAACATACACCGTTTGTCCTTCTCCGGTTACTGTGGCCAAGTTCAAAAAGGGTGTTGCCTGAGTTCTCCTCTGGGATTTTGATGGAATCTTGTCTCACATTTAGATCTTTCATCTATTTTGAGTTTATCTTTGTGTATGGTGCAAGAGAGTGGTCCAGTTTCATTCTTCTGCATGTGGATGTCCAATTTTCCCAGCACCATTTATTGAAGAGACTGTCTTTCTTCCAGTGGATCGTCTTTCCTCCTTTATCGCATATTAGTTGAGCATAAAGTTCAGGGTCCACTTCTGGGTTCTCTGTTCTGTTCACTTGATTTATGTGTCTGTTTTTGTGCCAGTACCACACTGCCTTGATGAACACAGCTTTGTAGTACAACCTGAAATCTGGCATTGCGATGCCCCCAGATATGGTTTTCTTTTTTTAAAATTCCCCTGGCTGTTTGGGGTCTTTTCTGATTCCACACAAATCTTAAAATAATTTGTTCTAAGTCTCTGAAGAAAGTCCATGGTATTTTGATAGGGATTGCATTATACGTGTAAATTGCCCTGGGTAACATTGACATTTTCACAATATTAATTCTGCCAATCCATGAGCATGGAATGTTTTTCCATCTCTTTGTGTCTTCCTCAATTTCTTTCAGAAGTGTTCTGTAGTTTTTAGGGTATATTTTGAGAACCATTTGAATGGTAAATGGTTCTCCAACCTTTTATTTTCAGGTTGTAGGTGTCCTTCTGTCTAAAATGAGTCTCTTCTGGACAGCAAATAGATGGGTCCTGTTTTTTTTATCCAGTCTGAAACTCTGCGCCTTTTGATGGGGTCATTAAGCCCATTCACGTTCAGAGTTACTTGAACTTCTTCTTAAAGGGGAGTTTTAAGAGTCCCCCTTAAAATTTCTTGCAGAGCTGGTTTGGAGGTCACATATTCTTTCAGTTCCTGCCTGTCTTGGAAGCTCTTTATCTCTCCTTCCATTTTGAATGAGAGCCTTGCTGGATAAAGTATTCTTGGTTGCATGTTCTTCTCATTTAGGACCCTGAATATATCCTGCCAGCCCTTTCTGGCCTGCCACGTCTCTGTGGAGAGGTCTGCTGTTACCCTAATATTCCTCCCCATGAAAGTCAGGGACTTCTTGTCTCTTGCTGCTTTAAGGATCTTCTCTTTATCTTTGGAATTTGCAAGCTTCACTATTAGATGTCGAGGTGTTGAACGGTTTTTATTGATTTTAGGGGGGGATCTCTCTATTTCCTGGATCTGAATGCCTGTTTCCCTTCCCAGATTGGGAAAGTTTTCAGCTAGGATTTGTTCAAATACATATTCTGGCCCTCTGTCCCTTTCGGCGCCCTCGGGAACCCCAATTAAACGTAGGTTTTTCTTCCTCAGGCTGTCGTTTATTTGCCTTAATCTGTCTTCATGGTCCTTCAATTGTTTATCTCTTTTTTCCTCAGTTTCCCTCTTTGCCATTAACTTGTCTTCTATGTCACTCACTCGTTCTTCCACCTCGTTAACCCTCGTCGTTAGGACTTCTAGTTTGGATTGCATCTCATTCAATTGATTTTTAATTTCTGCCTGATTGGATCTAAATTCTGCAGTCATGAAGTCTCGTGAGGCCTTAATGCTTTTTTCTAGAGCCACCAGTAGCTGTAGAATAGTGCTTCTGAATTGGCTTTCTGACATTGAAGTGTAATCCAGATTTTGTAACTCTGTGGGAAAGAGGGCTGTTTCTGATTCTTTCTTTTGAGTTGAGGTTTTCCTTCTAGTCATTTTGCTCAGTGCAGAGTGGCCAGAAACAAGTTGTATTGGAACACGGGGGAGTATCACTGGCCCCTCTAGCTGGTCTTCTGGGGGAGGGGCCTGTTGCGTTGATTTTCAGGTGTTGGCACTTGGGGGAGCTGCTCTGCCCCTGCCTGCTGCAGGGCTCTGCGGGGGTTGTTTACCCCCGCCAGGCCCCAGGAGGAACAGCAGCAGTTGCTATGGCAACTCTGGAAGCCTGGATTCAGCCTCCGCAGGAACTACGGGGCTCGGGGCTCTCGGCTCTCCGTCCGCAGGGCCTGGAGGCTCCGGGGCGGGGCCGCTGATCTGCTCAGCTCGGGGCAGGAGCGTCCTCGCTGTCCTGGGCCCTCCCGGCCTCTGCCTGTCCCGGGGGAGGCCGGATCCTGGGCTGTGTCCCGGCGCCCTGTGCTCCGGGGCCTGCGCTGTTGGATTCGCGCTCCCGCCCCGCAGCTCCCTCCCTGGAGCCGCTCCCGAGCCCCTCCGAGCTGCTCCGGCCCCGCCGTGCGCGCTGCAGCCCTTAGGGAGCTCGGCGCACTCTCCCGGGGCGCAGGTGTCTGTTAGTGTCCCCGGGAGCCCGAGGGCATCCCCGCTCTCCTGGGTCCTGCTCCAGCTCCCTGCGAGCCCCTTTCCGCCCGCCCGGGAAGGTTGGTGCAGCTCCTGCTCCTCCGGGACGGGGCTCTCCTGTCCTGGGGACACTCGCCCCGGCCTCAGCCCGGCTCCTCGCGGGGCCCCTCCCCCTCGGAGGCCTTTTGTTCCTTTATTTCTTTTTCCCCGTCTTCCTACCTTGATAGAAGCGTGAACTCTTCTCACTGTAGCATTCCAGCTGGTCTCTCTTTACATCTCAGGCCGAATTCGTAAATTTTCAGGATGGTTTGAAGGTTATCTAGGTAATTTGGTGGGGACAGGTGATTTGGGGACCCTGCTCTTCCGCCATCTTGCCCCTCCCCTCCACCCTTCCTCTTAAGCACACATTTTAAGACCTTGGTCAAATGTTTAATAAATGCTAGTTGCTTGTTATATTACTTTCTGGACATAATGAACATGCTCAATGTTTCCAGAAGAATCAAGAAGAAATAAGGTACATTAGAATAGGTGTCAGAACTGCTGGGTTCTCTTTCAGATTCCACGACCTTGGGTAGGTCATTTCACACCCCTTCTGAGTGTTAGTTTCCCTATCTGCTGAAAGAATAAAATGTGCACTGTCAATGACTCTCAGACCATGTCTGAGGCACTGGGGAGAGGGGGGAAGATGTCATGGAAGAAAGAGCATTTGTCATAATAGAAATCTCATCACATAGAACTCTGAAAGTCCCCCTCGACTGGTGAGAGCCACAGCCCAAAGAACGAGAGGTGGTTTGGAGGGAGGTCAGAGGTCGAGGGAGGCGAAGGAGGCTTGCAGGGCTCTGGGGATGCCTCACTCCTCGGAGTCTGTGTCCTGGGATCACTCGGAGAATTAAGCTCACTTGCCTGAATGTCATTAAAAGTAAATCTGTTCACTCCGTTTCATGCCAGGTGTGTTGTAGACTGACCCTTAATCTGTTTCTGTTGGATTATTGATAGCAATAATGAGTAAAAACCAGGTATCCATCAACCCAATGGTTTCCCTTCTTCAGATGCACTTAGCAAGTGATGGCATCACATGAGAAAAAGGAGAGGGAGGATTTTGGAGTTTCCTAAAGGTGGACTCTATAGGGAAGAGCAGGACCGAGGACCACGATGCAGAGATAGGACTAATCCTGATTAGAGTCAGGAGTCAGTATGGGAGAAAGTTATTCAACATACAGTGTGATACTAGTTTCAGGTGTAGAATTTAGTGATTCAGCACTTCCACACATTACCTTGTGCTCATCACAACCAGTGCCCTCCTTAATCCACATCATCTATTTAACCCATATCCCTACCCATCTCCCCTCTGGTAACCATCCGTTTGTTCTCTAACATCGGGAGTCTGTTTCTTGGTTTGCCTCTCTTCCTCCCACCTCCATGTTTGTTTGTTTTGTTTCTTAAATTCCACACATGAGTGACATCATATGATACTTGTCTTTCTCTAGCTTGTTTCACTTAGCATAATACTCTTTAGCTCCAGCCATGTCATTGCAAATGGCAAGATTTTGTTCCTTTTTTATGGATGAGTAATAATGCATTGTAGAGAAAAGAATAAAATAAATTCTTTCGATTAGAACCAATATAAATCACATGTTTGGGAATCCTATAGATATTCATACACATTACAAATCTATTTATTAACTCTGAGAGATTAGAATTACAATAATTTGATTTCATGAGAAAAATAAATGTAACATTTTGTATTGTCTAAGACATTTTATGAAAGGCCAAGGTGCTGAATAGTAGTAATCATCAACAAATAGATGTTCCCTAACTGTTCATATGGATGAAACAGCATTAGTGTACAAAGGCCTCACTTCTACTATGAGGAGTTGGAATAAAAATAAAAATGGAATAAATGACTCTAAAAAAGAAAAAAAGAGAGTCAGGAGTCAGAACCTTCCCCTTCTCCCCCCGCCCCCCTAAGAATAAAGGTTGCCTGTGAGCACTGAAGAGATTTATTTCCTCTGCCCTTGGTTTAAATCCTCAGACATCCAAGGGTGCAGACATAAAACAGATACACACCTTATATCCGTGTCTGGGCAAGGGCAGGGAAAGACGTGAGTTAAGACACCAGCTGTCAAATGTTGACATCGGTTAAGGGTCAACTGGTCTTATGTGAAATGTTTCAGACTCTGGACAGTGGATCAGTTCAGTGGGATGATAAATCAATCAAACTCATTCTTAGTCTAAAAGGATAGTGATGTCTCCATGAACCCGAGTTCCACTGGCAGTGACCCTCTGTTTCCTCTGGGCTCTGCTCTTCAGGGGTTTCCCCCTGGCCCTGGGAGAGCAGGACCAGAATGGTTGGGGCCCTTGTGGATGACAGACCCTCAGACCTACACAGACCATCCTGGAGAACAGCTGGAAACCAGGAGAGGCTGGGCCACAGGCAGGTGAGAATCACGTCCTCAGGTGGCTCACCTGCTCTGGTAGTGGAATAAAGATGTATGTAAATGGGATGGGGGACCTTCTCAGGTGCCATCACTGACCACCGTTTTCTTTTACCTTGAGTGGGTGTCTGGCCAAACACCAGTGATGAGATCAGGTTGCCCCAAACACCGGATGACTGGAATATGAGAAAGAAGATGCCAAAATACTGGTTCACCACGTCTCTGCCAACTTTTCCCACCTTCTTTGCTTCTGTGTTTCCCATGATCGTGAGGTATGTGCATTGGGCGGACCACAGAGGGGCAGCCCCAAGGCCCAGCAGTATGGAGGTGGGAATCAAGGTGTACCTGAAAAACAAAATGCTTACCTCTGTGCAGAAGGAAACACCATGCTTAGTCCCCTGTAAGCATTATTATGTTTATGGATTGGCTAGATTGATGAATTCACCATCCATCAGACTCAGATAAATGACCAAACCCAGCACCATTTCTGGTTCAGGTTCATTTGCAAGAGAGAAATTCATTGCCTGTGAACTTTGCATTTGAAAGCAACTACCTATAAACTGGGATTACAAGTAAGGCTGTATGGTTTCTGAGTATTTCTAACAGCTATACCTTTAAAAATGATTTATTTATTTATTGAAACATTGATTGGTTGATTGGTGAAAACTCTATGGCAATAAGAAAAAGAAGAATGTGAAATCACCATAATCTTATGTCTGGGATGTCAATGGGCATCCCTCCAAAGAGATGCTTGACAGGTGTGTTCTTTCGAATAAGAGTGTGGGGCCAGTGCCCTTAGAGCTTGGTCCCTGAGAACCCCTCTCATGGGCCCCTGCACGTCTAGTTCCAGCCCTGCCACGTCCACTTTCTATGATGATGAGGGTGTGGTGGTGGGTCCATTGGTCACATTCTGCTAAGTCTCCTGAAATACACCCTGGACATCTTCTAGCTTTCATCACTGTGGTCACAAAAGGGCCCTGGGGCAGAGAGGGAAGCTCAAGGCCCAGAACAGGCCTGAGGAGGGGTCAGGCTGGGACCTAGGGGAGGAAATGGGCACAGCAAAATGGACAGAGACATCTTGATGGGAAAAAATGGGGGAAAAGCCTCCACAGTTTCCTATCCCAGAAGCAGAGAGGAATTTTAGGGAATGGCGCTCATTTTGAAGTGGGAGCAATGGGGTGTCATTGGGTGCATCCAGCCATGTGCACCTGAGCAGCTGAGCCCGAGGCATGACCCAGAAGCAGGGCGTGAGCTGTGTGGGCCGTACCAGCTAGCATAGAAGTTGCCCAGGGAGAAGGCCACGTAGCAGCACATGGAGACGACGATGGTCCATTTGCAGCCAAACTTCTTAATCAGGAGCGGCGGGAGGAACATGGAGGACAGAAGTACCCCGCCGTACAGCGTGCTGAGTGCTGTCACGCCCAGGCCTTCCTCTCTGTACAGGCTGCTCTGTGGGGACAAAACCACCCTGGTCAGAGGGGCCCACCACCAAGGGGAAGAGCTCTGGGTCACCACTAGGTTCCCGAGACAGCCACGACAGGCTTCCTGTGGCTTCCCAGCTGACAGGTGTGGCGAGAGTGGAAACTAGCACAGTCCCAACAGAGGGTCAGCTGCTGCCAGAGACTTCGAAGAGGGGAAGCCTGATGCGAGGCCCAGGTGCTGGACACTCCAACACTCCAGGCTTCTCTCTTCTTTCTCTCTTCCTTTCCTGCCCCACCCCTTGGGGTGCCCTGACCTTCCTTCTTGTCCTCGCTTTCCAAAGGGTGCTCAAGTGCAGATAAAGGGTCTCCAAGGGCCCATGGATAATGTGGTCCATGGAGACCTCAGCTTTGATCCTGTAGCTAGAATTTCATCTAACGCCTAGCACACACACCCTTGTGACCCAAGATGTCACCCCAGCTGACAAAGATCCCTTGGAACATGGGAAATTGTTCTGTTTTTTCCAAATCTCTCCCCATGCCTTGCCCAAAGTATGTACATAACAGTATTTGTGGATTAGTTGAAACTGAAAGTAACAACAGCTAATCCCATGAAAATTCTGAAATCTTGTTAGAAGATAGAAATTGAGTGTTCATTTTCCATGATGTGGGGGTTATCTGGAAATTTCTGCTTATGATTCTTGTTGCCAGAAGTGTGGAGTGAGAGTTGTTTCAGCCTGAGCCTTTTGTTTCCTTAACACAAATGTAGGAAATCCCGTATTACTGAGCTCAGCTCCTCCATGTTAATGACAACCATGCAGCACTTCTGTGCACTGGAATTTCTCTTCTAGGCATGGTGCTGCTGCAAATCGGCAAGGTATGTTAGTCACTTATAATCTAATTCTACTGCAAACCACTGCAAAGGAAGACAGATCTCAATAGACAAAGTGGGAATCAAATTTTAAAAGCAAAGGTCTTTTCTATGTAAATGGCCACGTTCAATCGCCTGTATCTGCATGTGTTAGGGGAGCAGGCCTGCAAAACACATGTATGAGGATAAGTATGTGTGCATGTGGAATTTGGATCATGCAAGACCTGCTTATATAAGCAAGTAGGACATTCACTCAAGTCATTCAACAAATGTAGCCTTAAGCACTTACCAGTATAGGCTCTGTGCACTGCTCTAGTGAAACAAATGAAATTATGACAGCCACTGCCCTCCGGGAGTACATGGTGGACAGGAGCTGACAGGGGTCTGTAACACCAGCAAACAGGCCATTGCAATAGGCCTGAGTCCTGCAAGGGAAGCTCAGGGGCCAGCCCAGTGGAGTCATGAAGACTGTCTAGAGGGAGTGAAGGCCAAGTGAGATCTGGAGGATGAGAGGGTAACCTGAGGAAGGGTGGGAGGTGATGAGTTTTCATGGGCCTTGTCCTCAGCTGAGAGGCAGCAGAGAACATTGAGCTGCTTTGGCCAGAGCCGTTAAGCTCTTCTGGGGGAGTGAGGCTGGGCAGCCTGCCAGACTAGAGCACAAGTAGTCTTGGTTCAATCCTGGGAGCAGGGTCGATCCCATGGAGAACCTGGGAAGGGAGTTAAACTGGAGGTTAGCCTGAGCCGATGACTTTCACTCACAGAGTTACCCATCCTATGTGCTGTCAGGGGGACATGGTCATGGAGTGGTGGCCATCCTCCTAGCATCATGGACTCACACAGGCATAATGTGGTGCCTGCCACAGCACCAGGGCAACACATCCAGGGACTTTGGTTCCAGGGGTCAGGGAAGGGGAGAAGCGGGTGACATCCAAGTGGAGATCTGAATGACTAGTAGGAGGTCACTAGCCACAGGAGTGAGAGGGCCCAGCTGCTATAGGGGAAGGCTGTGTAAGTGCATGCCTGGGTCCTGGGCCGAGTCTGGCTGGGACCTTGGGGATCCTGGGACCATGTGCGCCAGTCAGATGAGAGCTGAAGGAAATGACAGGGACAGGCAGATGCTCCCAACATCGTGGGGACACAGCCAGGCCTAAGGTCACTTCTGTCCACGTCATTGCCTTCTTTTGCTTAGCTCAGTCCTGACTGATGGAGACAACTGTCCCAGTGAAACCATATTGACATATTCTGGATCAGCAAGCAAAGAAATATGGCAAGTTAGGGCTGGGACAGAAGGTAGGGAAAGTGGATGGGTGAGATTGTTTCATGCCAGACTGGAGGTCTGGTTCTCGAACTTCTCTGGTCTTCCAGAAAGAGGGGACCTCAGCAATGGTCACACATGCTTCTACACCCAAGGAGCCCAGGTGGACTGGGGAGGATCTGGGTGTGAAGGGTGTAGGGAGCATCTGCTCTCCCTGGGCATCTGCCCCACAGCAACTACACTTCAGAAAAAAAAAAAAGTAACCGTCTGGGGAAAATATAGCAAATCTAGTAGACACATGTGACCTCTGCTGCAGCCATTTAGAGAGGCCCAAGGAGGAAAGAATGCCATGGAGTTCAAACTGAATGGCATGGGTGGGGCTGTGCGTTGCAAGCTCACACATAAAAACCACTGTTTGACAGGATTTGGGAGTGAATTGGTTAATGAGAAATCCTACATTCCTCATCTTCTGTGACCAAGGAGATTCTTGGAGGCCAGGAGACAAATGTCCATTCAGAAGTGTTCTCACTTACCTGCAGACTCTGCAGACCTCCGTAGGCTGTAAAGAGAAGCAGAAATCCAAAAGAAACCACGAGGACATTCTTCAGGCTTCTTTCCATTATGCTGATTAAACGTTTCAACCATCAGTGAGCACGTAGATTCAGAGCTCCCTGAAAGAAACCAGTCGGGATACAGGAAAAGCAATCCATCCCAAGAAGTCCCAGGAAGTGACATTCTCTCTCTCTCTCTCTCTCTCTCTCTCTCTCTCTCTCTCTCTCTCTCGTCTAAGTGAGAGGCGTGCAGGTCATTAGGGCCACTGTGAGTTAATAAACCTGGTTATCACTGACACCATGAGGCACCATGGGGGTTGTTATTCATTCACCTTTTCTGTAACCTGCGATAACCACTTTCTAACAGGGCAAAAGATTAGGACTTTTATCAGCTTGTAAATAGTTGCACTTGTTCCCTATTAATTTCTAGAAGATATAATCCTTACTGTGAAACAATGATTTTCATATTATAGACATATAATATAATACATTACATGTATAATATAATTACATTATATATAGGTATAATGGTACCTTTTCGTATTAAAAGAAATGGTCAGTGGTGCTGAATGTGGATATACTTCCGTCTTAAAGAACAAAATAGAAATGTCAGCTTCAAGATATTTATAGCTCGACTTCTGAAAACAACTTAACATGATTGTGAGATCCAAGGGCCAAAATATGGGTATCTCAAAGACTGCATGATTTTACAACACTGCAATAATTAAAAAAAAAAAGACCACACCTCCTGAGTATAACATTTTACAATATGCAAAGCACTTTACATGCATCGTTTTGTGTTGCCCCAAAGTAGAGCTGTGATAATTGTCATTGGAACTCTCAGATATTACCAGACAGGGAGCTGAGCTTCAGAGCAGGTCACAGATTTTGGATTTTTGGAAGACAGCAGTGCTGTTCAAGAGAACTTTCTGCACCATCCATGGCAACCATGGGCTATATGTGGCTATTGAGCAGTTGAAATGTTGCTAGTGCTACTGAGGAACTCAACTCATCACTGCACTTAATTTTAATTAATTTAAATTTAAATAGCTGCCTGGCAGTGGCTACCATATTGGGCAGCACCCATCTGGCTTTAAACAACTTACCCCGCATCTCACAGCTAATAAGCCAAATCACTGGTTTATCCAATCGTTTGTTCAATTGTTTTTTTCAATTGTTAGTGAACTTTATGTTTGAAGATTGTTTCCTAAGTTCTGTGAAGTCGGTGACTTTTATTTAGTTTGGACCCATAAGAAAAGCCTCACTGTGTTGGTGAACATAACGTGTTGGTGACGCCACTCATGGGAGCATGTTATTCTGTTTGAAGAACATGATAAAGCCCTTGCAGCTTAATTTATTCTTGTGAAAATAAAATCTTTAGGAAAATAATGGTTTTATGTACTGAAAAAATGTGGATAGTCATGCTTAATACAGACATGCAAACAGCATAGGCCAGTAAAAGACACTAACATGGAAACAAATGAGACCTGTGGGTTCAAACACTAACCTGCCACCTCTCTGCTGGGGAGTCTCAAGGAAATCACACCACTCTCCAAACCTGCTTCCTCTTGAAAAAGGAGAGTTGCAAAAGTTCAAGAAGCTAATCATTGTGAAAGTCCTGGAATATCCCTAACACAGAGCCATCACATGGAAATGTTAATTGGCTAAGATGACATTTTAACTTTCAGAGAAAATATCACTTGCGTCAGTTTTTTAAAAAAATATAATATATTATATATATATATAATATTATATATTATAAAAATATAATACTTAGCATAACATGGACATTTTCCACACCAATCTTACAGATCAATGAATTCTGACTTCTTTATTTTCAGCATCATTCTAGCTTACTTCAGTTCTGGCCTGTCTACAACTATTCACCATTGATGTCCACTGTGATCTTACAAGACACAACTGAGGTTTTCTTTTGTTACCCACTGTTGAAAGGTACCAGAACCGTCTTCTGGGATTTGCGGACTCTGGGGAGCGACCCCAGGGAGCTACCCTTCTGGCTCTGTCTGTGCTTCTGCAGCGAAGCCTCATTGTGCTCCGTCTTTGCAAGCCACATCCATCCCTGTCCCTCTAGCTGTCTTTCTGGGAGTCAGGAATTCGCTGGAAAATAATTGCTTTAATCCTATCTGCTTCTACTTTCCCTCCTAGTTCTTCCCTTTTATCTGTTATAATAGTGAGTTTTTAAAAGAAAAGTATTTTACAATCTGCCTTGGCTCTTTAACAGAACAAAATACTCACCCCACCCGGTTTTCATGAAATAATTCACATACATCACTGTCTAAGTTGAGGTATAGGGATCCCTGGGTGGCTCAGTGGTTTAGCGCCTGCCTTTGGCCCAGGGTGTGATCCTGGAGTCCCAGGATCGAGTCCCACGTTGGGCTCCCTGCATGGAGCCTGCTTCTCCCTCTGCCTGTGTCTCTGCCTCTCTGTGTATCTCTCATGAATAAATAAAATCTTTAAAAAAAAATAAGTTGAGGTATGCAGCATGGTGGTTTGATTTACATCTATTGGAAAATAATTACCACAATAGATTCAGCTAACATCCAACTTCTCATATAAGATACAATAAAAAGAAAATGAAAGAGAAAAAAAAAACACTTTCTTGTGATGAAAACTCTTAGAATTTAAAAACTTTCCTATATTTCCAAGACATAAATCCAGTGGTGTTAACCATAGTCATCATGCTTTACCTCACATCCCTAGTAATTATTATCTTATAACTGGAAGTTTGTACCTTTTGACCACCTTTCTCCATTTTCCCATCACCCTCTATTTCTGGTAACCATAAGTCTTTTTTCCTTTGAATTTGGTTTTTAAGTTTTTAAATCTTATTTTTTAAGATTATATGTATAAGGGAGATCATACAATTTTTGTCTTCCTCTTTCTTATTTCACTTAGCATAATGCCTTCAGAGTCCATCCATGTTGTCACAAATGGTAGGAGTTCAATTTTTATGGCTAAATAATGTTCCGTTGTACCTATATACACACCTTATCTACCCATTCATCCATCAATGGACACTTAGGTTGTTTCCATATCTTGGCTATTATAAATAATGATGCTATGAACAAGCGGGTGCAGGTATATTTTTGAGTTTAGTGTTTTCATTTTCTTTGGATACATACCCAGAAGTGAGAATGCTGGGTCATATGGTAATTCTATTTTTAACTTTTTTTAAAAAAATATTTTATTTATTTATTCATGAGAGACACAGAGAGAGAGAGGCAGAGACATAGGCAGAGGGAGAATCAGATTCCATGCAGGGAGCCCGATGTGGGACTTGATCCCAGAATTTCAGGATCACACCCTGAGCCAAAGGCAGATGCACAACCACTGAGCCACCCCGTGGCCGTCTAAAAATAAGTGCCCCTATTTTTAACTTTTTGAGGAAACTCCATGTTGTTTTCCACAGTGATTGCACCAACTTACATTCCTATCAACAGTGCATAAAGGCCCCTTTTCTCCACATCCATGCCAGCTTTTGTTACCTGTTGTCTTTTTGATGATGGCCATTCTAACAGGTGTGAGGTAATATCTCCTTGTGGCTTTGATTTATATTTTCCTGATGATTCGAGAGATTGTGCATTTTTACATGTACCTGTTGGCTTTTGGTGTATCTTATTTGGAGAAATTGCTATTCAGGTCCTTTGCCCATTTTTGAATTGTTTTTTGTTCATTTGTTTGTTTTTTGCTGTTGAGTTATACGTGTTCTTTATGTATTTTGGATATTAACCCCTTATCAGATATGTGGTTTGCAAATATTTTCCCCCTTTCATAGGCTTTCTTTTCACTTTGCTGATGGTTTCTTTTGCTGTGTAGAGCTTTTTAGTTTGATATAGTTGCACTCATTTATTTTTTGATTTTGTTGCTTGTGTGGTAGGTGTCATATCCAGACTTCACAGCCAAGACTCATGTCAAGGAGCTTTATTCTTTATTTTATTTTAGGGGTTTCATGGTGGCAGGTCTTATATTTATGTCTTTAAACCATTTAGAATTAATTTTTGTGAGTGGAGTAAAATATGGACCCAATTTCATTCTTTTACATGTGAATATCCAATTATCCCAGCACCATTTTTTGAAAAGACTGTCTTCTCTCCATTGAATATTCTTGGCTCCCTTGTCAAATATTAGTTAATTAATGTTTGGGTTTATTTCTGGGTTCTCATTTCTGTTCCATTGTTCTATTCATCTGCTTTCATGCCAGTACCATACTCTTTCAATGACTATTGTTTTACAGTATAGCTTGAAATCAGGAAGCATGATACTTTCTGCTTTGTTCTTAGGATTTCTTTGGCTTTTGGAGGGTCTTTTGTGATTCCATATAAATTTTAAAAGTTTTTTTTCTACTTCTGTAAAAAATGCCTTTGGAATCTTGATACAGATTGCCATAAATCTATAGATGGCTTATGGTAGTATTGGCATTTTAACAATATTAATTCCTCCAGTCCATGAACATGCGATACTTTACCATTTATTTGTGTCTCCTTTGATGTATTTTATCAAGCTCTTGTAGTTTTCAAAGTACAGATCTTTCATCTCCTTAAATTTATCCTTAAATATTTTATTATTTTTGATGCTATTTTAAGTGGGACCAATTTCAATTATTTCCTTTCCTGAAAATTTGTGGTTGGTGTATAGAAATGCTACTGATTTTCATATGTTGATCCTGCAACCTCACTGAAATCATTGATAAGATCTAATAGTTTCTTGATTGAACTTTTAGGATTTTCTATATATAAGATACTGTCATTTGAAAATAGAGACATTTTACTTCTTCCTTTTAAATTTTTATGTATTTATTTCTTTTTTCTTGCCTTATTGCTCTGGCTAGGACTTATAGTACTGTGTTGAATAGAAGCAGTGATAGTGGGCACTGTTGTCTTTTTCCTGACCTAAAGGGAAAGTTTCAACCTTTCACCATTGAGCATGATATTAGCTATGGGCTTGTCACATATGGCCTTTATTATGTTGAATTTTTTTCCATGCTTAATTTGCTAAGAGTTTTTATCCAGAATAAATACTGAATTTTGTCAAATGTTTCTGCTTCTATTGAAATGATTATATGATTCTTTTCTTTCATTCTATTAATGTGGTGTATCACAATGCTTGATTTATATATGTCAAACTATCCATCCTCACATTCCAAACAGAAAATCCTATTTGCTCATGGTGAATGGTCCATTTAATGTGCTGCTGAATTCGTGTACTAGTACTTTGTTGAAAGTTTTTGCATTGATATTCATCAAGGATATTGGCCTGAAGATTTTTTGTTTGTTGTTTGTTTTTTGTTTTGGTAACGACCTTTTTTGGATTTGGTATCAGGATAATGCTGACCTCATGAGTTTGAGAATGGCCCCCCTCCTTTGATTTTCTTAGAAGAGCTTGGGAAGAATTGGTGTGAATTCCTCTTTGAATGTTTGGTAAAATTCACTGATAAAGCCATCTGGTCTTGAGCTTTTCTTTATTGGGAGTTTTTTTTTTTTAAGATTTATTTTTATTTTTTTTTATTTTTTATTTATTCATGATAGACATAGAGAGAGAGAAAGAGAGGCAGAGACAAAGGCAGAGGGAGAAGCAGACTCCATGCCGAGACCCCAACGTGGGACTCGATCCCGGGTACTAAACCGCTGAGCCACCCAGGGATCCCCAGGAGATTTTTGATTAATGAGTCAATATCCTTCCTAATTTGTCTGTTCATATTTTTAAACTTCCTTATTCAGTCTTGGTAGTTTATAGGTTTCTTAAAAAGTTTCCATTTTTATTAGGTTGTCCAGTTTGTGGGCATGTAGTTGCTTATCATAGACTCTTAAGATCCTTTGAAGTTCTGTAGTATCCATTATAATGTCTCATTTCCCACTTATAATTTAGTTGATTTGGGTCCTTTTTCTTGTTTCTTTGGTTAGGTGGGGCTTTGTAAATTTTGTTTATCATTTCAAAGAACCAAGTCTTACTTTGGTTAATCTTTTCTACTGGTTTTCTATTCTCTATTTCATTTATTTCTACTCTAATCTTTATTATTATTTCCTTTCTTTCTAACTTTTGTTCAGCTTATTTCTTAAGGCATAAAATTTTGTTGTTTATTTGGGATCTTGCACTCCACAGGTTCCAATATGTAATGTTTCCATTTTTGTTTGTCTCAAAATACTTTTTATTTCTCCTTTAATTTCTTCTCTGATCCATTGCTTGTTTAGGAGAGTGTTGTTTAATTTTCATGTGTTTGTAAATTTTCCAGTTTTCCTTTTGTTATTGATTTCTGGATTCATGACATTGTGGTCAGAGAAGATACTTGATTTAATTTCAATCATTTACAATTTACTAAGACTTGTTTTGTGATCTAACAGATAGTTTATTCTAGAAAATGATCGATGTGCCTGAGAAGAATGTGTATTCTATTGTTGGATAGAATCCTCTGCGTATGTCCTTAGGGGCCATATGGTCTATAGTGTTGTTCAAATCTGTTGTTCTCATATTGATCCTCTGTATGATCTCTCCATTGTTGAGAAGGGGGGCATTAAATTCCCCAGCTATAATAATAGTATTTCTGTTGATTTCTTATTTAAGCTCTGTTACTTTTTGGCTTTATATATTCAGGGGCTCCAATATTGACTGCAGAAATATTTACAGTTGTTATATCTTTTTGATGTATTGACCCTTTTATAATTATTTAATAATTTTCTTTATCTCTTTTTTAACATTTTTAGTTTAAAGTTTATTTTGTCCAGTGTAGGTATAGCTACTCCTGCTTTGTTGTGTTGTTATCATTTGTTTGAAACGTCATTTTCCATCCCTTTACTCCCTATATGTGTCTTTAAGGCTAAAGTGAATTCCTTTTTGAAAACATTGTTGGATCTTGGTTCTTTATCCATTCAGCCATTCTATGTCTTTTATTTGGAGAATTCAATCACCTTAAAGTAATTACTGATAAATAAAGACTTACTCTTGCCATTTTGTTAACTGTTTTCTGGTTGCTTTATAGATCAGTTGTTTCTTGTTTCCTATTCTGCTTTTTTGGTGTGTTTTAATGTCTTTTGATATTGGTATGCCTTGATTTATTTATCATGTTCTTTTGTACAATTACTACAGGATTTTCCCCTGTGGTTATCATGAAGCTGACATAAATTATCTTAAATTTATAACATCTTATTTTAAAATGATAATGACTCAACTTCAAGAAAAGTCATAAACTTTATACTCTTATTTCTCTTCTCCTTCACATTTTAGCTTATTGCTATTGCAATTTACATTTTTTATTGTATAACTAATAACAGACTATTATGGTTATTTTTTAATACTTTCATTTTTTATTACTTTTTAACTAGAGTTGTAAGTGAATTATGCACCACTCCTTCCATATTGCAGAATCTAACTATGGCTATATATCTGCCATTAACAGTGAGGTTTGCACTATCTTTTTATGTTTTTACTGATGTTAATTAGCATTCCATTACTTCCATTCAGAGAACCTCTTTAATATTTTTATTCCTCCTTCGTTCCTATAGGATCACTTCACCAGGTATAGAATTCTTGGTTGACAGTTATTTTCTTTCAGTATTTTTTAATATGTCATCCCATTTTCTCCTGGCCTAAGAAATCTGCTTCTAGTCTTACAAGGCTTCCTTTGTATGTAGTTTCTCTCTTTTCTTTTGCTGTTCCTAAAATAATAATAATTCTTCTCCTCTTCCTCCTCCTCCTCCTCCTCCTTCTTCTTCTTCTTCTTTTCTTCTTCTTCTTCTTCTTTTCTTCTTCTTCTTCTTCTTCCTTCTTCTTCTTCTTTCTTCTTCTTCTTCTTCTTCTTCTTCTTCTTCTTCTTCTTCTTCTTCTTCCTCTTCTTCTCCTCCTTCTTCTTGTCTTTGAATGTTGATAGTTTAATTATAGTGTTTCTCAGTGTAGTCCTAAGTGGGTTCAACCTATTTGGTATCCCTGGACCTCATGGATCTGGATGTCCATTTCTCTCCCTAGGTTTGGGAAGTTCTCAGGTATTGTCACTTTAAATATGTTTTCTGTTCCTTTCTCCTTCTCTTGTCCTTGAATTTCCCTAATGTGAGCATTATTTCATTTCAATGTGTTCTATAATACTCATAGGCTTTCTTCATTCTTTCATTTTTTGTCTATTTGCTCCTCTGACTGAATAATTTCCAATGTTCTTTCCTCCAGGTCACTCATTCCTTATTCTGTATGGTTGAGTCTACTTTTAAAACCTACTGAATTCATCAGTTCAGTTATTGTATTTTTTGACTCCAGGATTTCATTTGTTTGTTTGTTTTGATGGTTGCTATTCCTTATTGAACTTTTTATTTTGTTCATACATTGTTTTCCTAATTTTGTTTAGTTGTCTGTCTGTTTTCTTGCAGTTCACTAAACTTCCTTAAGAGGATTATTCTGCATTCTCTGTCTTACACTTCATAGATCTTCATTTCTTTAGGGTCAGTTATTGGATCTTTATTAGTTTCCTTTGATGTTATCATATGTACCTGATTTTTCATGATCCTTGATTCATTATGTTGGTATCTATACATTTGAGTAATTGGGCTCCTCTTCTAGATGTCACAGGTTTGCTTTGGCAGAGACAGTTCTCCAGTCAGTTCAGTTTGGGTTTCTGGGTGTGTCTGTTGGTAATGTCCTTGGCAGATGAGCCCTGATATTATGGTCTATCTTTGGAAAGGCAACATTTCCAGCTCTGTGGATGAGACTTGAAGTTGTGCTATTGGTTGAGAAAAGTTGAATAGGGCTGCTAGTTTGGTTCCCTATCCAAGAAGCTGTAGGATGGGTTCCACAGTTGGCTGGATTCTCTGGTTGGGTTTACAAGATGGTCAGGACTGGGTAGTATATTCAGTACTAGGTAGGGCTATGAATTAGTCCTGGCAGGACAGCAGGATGAGAGCCTGTATAGTTCATGATTTGGGGACCTGAATCAGGCCAGAATTCCCTGGTCATGTGAGGCCCCTGATTTTGTTTTGTCAGCGGGGAAGTCATTGACTGGGCTCTCCATTCAAGTGCCACTATTGTAGGATTACTGAGGGCTATGCAGTTTCCCATGTACTTTGGTTAAGTTGTTTGGTCCAACAGGCTGAAGGCTGTACTCAGTGACGAGCTGGGCTGTGAATTCAGTGGCAAGGATGGCCAGGAACAGTAGGAGAAGCAGCTCTAAAGCTGGTTAAGTTCTTTGTTTCTTGTCTTAACTCAAGCCAACCCACACCCCAAGTTCCCTGGAAGAACAGGGCCACTAGCTTTGCTCTGTGAGCTACCAGTTGTGCTTGCCCTTCTCTCCACTCTAGCACTGCTGGGTCACACAGCTTCCAGGAGTTGTCACCAAGCCTTCTGGTTAAATGGGCCTGGAAGACATTTTTCAAGGTGGATGCGGCAATGTCTCAGCTCTGCCCCCCCCCCCCCACCATGCCTTGATAGGAAGAGGAAAAGCTGCTCTTAATTTCCCAAACAAACTCTCTAGTTGGGAGGGGCTGGGAGCCACCCTGGGACTTGACCATGTATTAATTTCCCTGCTTATGTGCAGCAGGACGGATCTGTGCTTGGTACTGGCTTTGCTCTGGGGGCAAAAAGCTCTGCCTGGTTGCTTCTCAGCTCATGTGCAGCTGTGCTGCACAGCTTCCAGGAGTTGTTGCCAGTCTTTCTGGCCAGATGGGGCTAGAAGGCACTCTTTGCAGGGGGTGGGGCTGTCTCAACCCCTGTGCCTGGGAAGGAGCTGCTCCAGGCTACTCTCAATTTCCCAAACAAGCTGTCTGGCTGGCAAGGGCTGAGAGCTACCTTGGGACTTGGCTGTGTATAAATTCCCCTGCTTGTGTGCAGCTCAGGAAGCATTCACATTCAGTACTGGCTTTGTTCTGGGGGCTATCAGCTCTGCTTGCCCGCCTCTTGGCTCGAGCCTGCACAGCTTCCAGGAATTGTTGCCAGCCCTTCTGCTTGAATGGGGCTAGAAGGCACTCTGCACAGTGAGTGGGACTGTGACTCAGCACCTTGCCTGGGCAGGGGCAAACTGGACTTGAGAGAGGGAAGAATTCCTGATTTGAGCCTCCAAATCCCGCAGATCCGCACCCTACCAAGTTCCCTGGTCATACCGTACCCCTGACCTGGTTTTGCAGTTGAACAAAACCCTCGTGGAGATCGCTACTTGGGCACTGCACGCACGAGCATGGTCTGCTGAGATCCCAGTGCTGGTTGTGGTAAGCCGCACCTTCCTTCCCACGGTCAGATTTCCAGTGGTCCAGCCCTGCACATTCCCTGCAATCCCAACAGTATGAAACCAGATTAGAGATGCCCACAAAATGACCCACAGTGCTGGGGAGGCTAGTTGTTATCCCAGGTCCCCTTTCTCCGCTGGATGATCCAGACTTCTCCGCGGGGTGCGGTGCTGGCCTAGGGAAGAGGCGATGTGGTCAACATGTGGCTGTGTGGCCGCTTCTCTTACTTGGCTGATGCAATCTGTCCTGGCCTGTGACGAGCAGACGGTGCGTCAGCCTCACTCCAGGTTCTAGGATTCCCTCAGGAGTGTTCTCCAACAGTCGTTAGTTGTTCTTGTGACAGGGAGCCAAGGCAGGGACGACCTATCTCGTCATCTTAGCGATGTCACTCTCCCAAAATATTTCTTAAGAGATGTCCACCAGGACTGTGCCCAAACTCTTCATGTGATGAGGACGAGTTTAGTTGCAGCCACAATGCTTTCCTCATAACCAGAGGGCCCCAGCCTCAGACATGTGTGCCCACTAATTGACACATTCCTGCAGATATGTGGTTGGGACTGAGATGAGAATGGGGAATTCCAGAAACCTAAAAGTTGTCTTGACTTGTTGGCCAGCTTCAGCATTAATGGCAACGTCTAACTGGAGATGTGAACCTGGGCCAGCGGGAGCCTCAAATGGCTGAAGATCTAGGTATAAACAGCTCAAAATACCAATAAGCGCTTCATGCCTTACACTTAACATCAATACCTTATCACTTGGATGAAAAAAAGATGGTTTTGTAGATCTGTTTGAATCCTCATGACCACTCACTGGGTATTCAGTGAAAGACCCAGTGTCTGGCTGAAGGCTGAGATTGAAGGTTCTAGATAGACTCAGGAGTTTGGCAGGCGGGGGATAGTACCAGCCACTAGATGCCGCTGTTTTGCCGACGCTGAGCTCATCAGAAGCTCCCAGAGGTGTGAGTTCTAGAGGATCACAGGTTAACATCAGCAAAAACCTCCTGCTGAGAAGCTAAAGATCACTCTCAATTCCAGGGAAGTCTCTTCAGTGATGGGCTCTTTTGAAACACTTACTTAGATAAGCAAATTAATATCAATTTTCTTGACATTTAGACCTGATATCTTTTTTAATAAAAACAGCACCACACAAATTCAAATTTGTCCCATTCATTAGTTATACTTTCATCTAGTAAAGATGAGCAACGTATATGTAAGGAATGGAGCAAATTATTGTTCACATTTGGCATTCTTACACTTTGAAGGTTAATATATTTGGTTCCTTTTCTTTTTTTTTAAGTGAGAGCAATTTATATTCTCTTCTCCCTGGCTTCAGCAAACATTCTGTTGATCTTGTAGCAAGTGTTTCAAAGTAGATGAAGCTTCGGAGGGGCTGGCCGGCCTGCTGGCCCATGGGTGAGGACCCACCTGGCCACAGTCCTCTGGAGGCAAGTGGGAGTCCTCCTGGATCCAGTCCTCCCTCAACCAAGGCCCCTTCAGCTTTATCAGAGAGAGCGCAGACCTTCCTTAGGACAAACTCAGTGGAATCAGGGCCCAGAGAAAGACCTGAAATATTCCAAAATTTTTTTATACTCACAGTGCTCCCAAGGCACATCAGCCCTGGGAGCCATGGTGAGATCCTGGTTCTTCTCTGTCCCTGGGGTCCCTCGCATGCTTTTCCACTTGGGCCACACAAGCGGCCTGACTGCAGCCTACATCTGTGGCAGGAATCTGCAGACCCTCTGCGCCAGGGCGCCTGGAAAGACCAAGCCCCTTCATCTTGTCCCAGACAGGAGACCAGCGGGCCATGGTGAGCACTGGGAATGCCCTTCACGTGCCCTGCCAGCACTGCAACATGGACTGAGTTAGAGAGGGGAAAGTCCTCATGCGATACTTGCATATTGGGAGGGGGTGGGGTGAGGGAGGCGCTGGGTTAGTGCACACTCTGGCACACGCACACAAGCATTCTGTTCTCCACATTCCTTTCTGTCCAGTGGCCCTTCTGCTGGTTGAGCAGCCCGGCCACCTTCTGCAGGCAGTCAAGCTATTTGCTGGGGCCTGGCCTGTGCCAGAGACAGTTCTGGGTGCTACGGCCACCACACTGACAGTGGGCAGGGGCCCCGTTCCCTCGACAGTTCAAAGCCACTGAAGGAAACAGATAGTAAACCACGAAGCAAATAGAGAAATCACATGAGTTCGGGGGGGTGCACACTGTCCCCCAAATAAAGCAGCTCACGTAATAGAACGTATGAGGAAGGTGACGGGGCGGCAGGTGCCACTCACACAGCTGCTCGGTTCCACAGGTGTTGACCCAGACCCACCTCATCCCCACAGAAACTGAAAGTTCCAGCCTGGCATCTTGTGAGCCCAGGGGACCAGAGTCTGATGCCCTCTGGTTGAACTGGGTCCATCTCTCTGAGCCCTGGGAGCCACTAAGACAGCTGGACCTGTCCCTGGGGCAGCCAAGGGCCAAACACACATTTGACCTCAGTTCCCCAACTTGGGCCAAGTGGTGATTACACCTGAATGTTCTAGGTAGTTTTCAACCCATTACTTTGTCTGCACAGGTAATGCTGCAGGGATGTTAAAAATTACCTTGGTAAATCTCCAAAGATAATTCTGTGCCTTTGATCCCACAACACACAAATATCCACAAAGCTTGAATTACATCCCCAGACTAAGTAACGCCACGCGTGTCAATTTTACCTAGTTTTGTGCCTCCTTGGTCCCTGTCATCATCGTGGCATAGGACTTCTTAGATCTCGGAGAGTGCTGGACATTTCCCCGGCTTGCTCTTTTTGTGAGTGTGTTGGGAAATCATTCGCAACACCTCCTTCGCTTCAGCAAGTGACACAACCTGTTTGCAAATGACAAGTCCCTGGGGCTGCTTATCTGGGAACTACTTGACTCTCAGGGAAAAGATCTGCCAGCAAGATTTGGAAAGGTAGGCTGGGAGAGAGCCTGGCGTGGCTGAGAACATTTTATAAAGACTTCTACTGAAGTCTTAGTTTTCAAACAAAAATAGCATAAGCTCATTTCAACGAAAAAAAAAAGTCATCTCGTGGAACTTAAGAAACAACAACAAAAAAATAACAAATAAAAAGAAACAAAAGCAAGCAGATTCTGAACTGCAGAGACACACTGGTGGTTGTGGGGCAGGGGGAGGGGGAGGGGGAGAGGCCGTGACGGGAGTTGGGGTGCACACATGGAGATGAGCACTGCGTCGCATATGGAAGTGTTAACTCTCTATATTGTACACTTGGAACTAAGATAACACTGTGTGTTCATTATACTTCAAAAAAATTAAGAAATTAAAAGAGTTAAAAGAAAAAAGGAAAAAGCCTACACACATGTGGATATGTGTATGTGAATATAAACACACAGAAACATACATGTGCACACCTACGTACAGTGAGTCTACAAGCAGACTCACACCAAACTATGGAGGCCGAGAAAAATTAAGGCCATCCCACCTAGAGTTTAGCATTAGCACAAGTATAGCCATCTTAGGCCCCTGTGAATAAGAGCTGACCTTTATGGGAAAAACTGCAGAATGTCCTCAGCAGATAATCCCATATCAGAAAGACAACAGAGCCCACACCCATGGTAGAAAGTCCCATATTAGAATGAGAACGGAGCTCAATGCCCTTGAAAGCCCACATCAGAATGTAAACAGAACTTGAGAAATTCCTCCACCCCTTCTGGAAATCCCCTAGACCAGCCTATAAAAAACCCAGCTGTAACCCACTTAAGGGTTCAAGTCCCTGCTCTGCTGTGTCGGGTATACTTGGACCCAAGCTCGAGCTTGCTAATAAACCCTCGTGCGCTGCATGGGTGTTGGCTCCTTGGTGGTTTCTCAGGATTTGCAATCTTGGTCACAACACAAACCCTTCTCTGGACGATAGAAGTGTGGAAGGAGGGAGCGTGTGTCCTGTATTGGAGGCACCTGTATACTATTCTCGTATTTTTAGAAAAAGCATTTAATTTAAAAAAAAAAAACGCAGGTTTTTAAAGGAAAATGGATTTACGTAAAGAAATTTTGTTACAAAGAATTCTAAACAGGGGCAGTGGTTGAGCATCTGCTTTTGGCTCAGGGTGTGACCCTGGGGTCCTAGGATCAAGTCTCACATCGGCCTCCCCGCAGGGAACATGCTTCTCCCTCAGCCCATGTCTCTGCCTCTCTCTCTCTCTCTGTCTCTGATGAATCAATAAAATCTTAAAAAAAAAAAAAAACCCTCTAAACATTAAACTAAAACTCCAGATTACATTTAGGCCTCTGATTTAATCATTAACCTAGTCCCCTCTTAGCTTCTCTTGAACGTTCTCAGGCCCCACCTGCTCCCCAAGCCAGTGGTTTACAAAGCAAATGTAAACAGGCCACCAGAAACCACCAGAGCTGCCAGCAGCCCTACTCACGCTTCCTGTGTTTCCACACGAGCCTAACTCTCCGTCCTGCCCCGCCCCGCATGCCCAGCAGACCATCCTTTGGAAGCAGGCGATCCTGCCCCTGTGACCCTGCTGCTCCGTGATCGCTGATCCCCAAGCTGGTCCCACACGGGATCAGCAGCTCCTTGAGCCTGGCCTGTCTGTGCTAAGCTGAAAAGAAGTGAGATGTGTGGTTGGACCCCCGGAGGCAGCCTGGCAGCCAGCTGTGCAGAGGGCTCCCCACATTCTGCTACTGTTGCGAGTCCTGCTCTGCACTGGCCACAGACAGACGTGCGGTGGAGAGAAGACAGGGCCCCCTCCCCAGACGGCTGGGGCCTGCTCTCAGGGGTGGACGGCATGACCAGATGGTGCTTTCTGCCCCCCGAGGACCAGAGCCCACCTGTCTGGGAGTTAAACCATGTCCCTACTTATGCTGTTCAGTCAAGAAGCAGCACCTGCCCCTCTGTGACAGGGACGCGCAGCGGGACTGCAGGCCACGACGGGGTGGGGAAGTGCACTTTTGCTCTGTGGAGGAGAAATCAGGCTGATGATGTGTTTTGAGAACCGGGAGGGATTGTGACTCACAAGGTGAGTAAG